TTGCGTGCTAGTTCTAACGAAACGTTTACCCGCATTACTTTTCGAAATAATTTGAATATCGATCCACGATATCTTTCTCTCTCTCTCTTTTTCTTACCCGCTTTCGCATAATGTTACGTGTTTTTGCGATACCCGCACACAAAATTGACATCTTTGCAGGATCGAAGAAAATGACACAGTGCACCGTATCAGAATTTTTTGTTTATGCTCTGCACGTAATGAAATAAAAATACTCTGATATTCACGGGACAAGATTTATTCGCCTGACAAATCCCTTGTTAACGTCATTTATTATTAAAACGCAATGAAATATTTTGATGGGAACGATGCAACCCGCGCAAATCTCTCTAATCTAGATTAGTTCTATGGACCAGAAACGCACAACTTGATTATGATGATTAAATCATAACGATATTACCGCTTATCCTCTTTTATAGTCCTGCAGTTTTGCAGTTATCATGTCGAAGCCATATAATTCCCGTGTTGTACATACGCAGAAATATTTTCCTGTTATATAAAAGACGCATCGTGAAAATTATTTTGTTATATAAAATTATACGTTAAATAAAATTATATGAAAATATTTGATGATCTTTGATGATGATAATTAACAATTATAGAGTTGTAAAAAAATACTTTGTGAGAATTATTGACAAAATATATGATTTTTTAATTAAATAGCAAGTGATTTTCTCTCGTTAATATAAATTTTATTTCAAATATAACTTTAATATATATTTTAATATTATTTTCAAATATAAATATATAACGTTATATTACATACATTACACGCGATATGAAAATCACATAAAATTTAGCTCTTTTTTTCAATATAAATAAGTAATAAAAATTTATAAAAATTTGAAGTTATAAAAATTTTAATCTGCCACGCCGACACATTATGTTGCATTTATTAAAATTTAGTATTTAAATTAATTATAGAGCAGAACGTATAGATTGTGATTTATGGAATTCTATTCTAGAATTTCTAACTAATGTATCACATAATATATTATATAATGTAAATACTGCAGGTTCCGCACACAATTGAAGGGTGTCTGACACGTTTTATGCAGTGATTTGCGGAGGAAGCTATTGAATAGCTTTTGTATAGGAAAAAGAAAATTATGGATGTCCGAGAAACCATTGTAATTTCCCCTCTCGATCTGGAGAATTCCCGGATGATAAATTTTGACGCGTTTCATAGGTCGAACAATACTGTTACGTAAGATTGGATCGTGAGAATGATTTGTCTCTGCAGGCACACGTTGACGAGACATTAATATCGCATTTGGTTTCTCTTTTCTTTCCTTCGATTATTGTCAAGTTTTTTCCAAGCTAGAAAGATGATTGTAAAAAAATGCAAATATATTACAATAAATAAATAAATAAATATATACCCGATACGTTCAAAAAATTGATTAACTGATTTTTTTAAAGACGTACTACAGATATTATCTCTCAACCAATATTGGAACTAGGTAGTACCAACTTTTCTGAGTTTTCCATAATTTTTTTGTTGTGTTAGGTGCAGTAGTTTTTGAGTAGTGCACATTGAAAAATTGTTTGTTCTTTTTGCATTGTCACAATTTCAAGAATGGAGCAACGGGCTGCGATTAAATTTTGCTTTAAAAATGAAAAAACTGTTTTATCGAGATGTTATGGATCGACTATTGAAGCGAATTCGACGTGTTAGGCCCGAGTTGTCATGGAGAAGAAACTATTCGTCTGATTGGTAAATGATTCCTTCTCCATGACAACACACCCGCGCATTCGTCAATCGCCGCCTCCCAATTTTTGGCCAAAAAAAATGTGACCATCATCATCCACCCGCCGTATTCGCCAGATTTGGCATCTGCCGTCTTTTTTTTTGTTCCCCAAGATAAAACTGGCGATGAAAGGGACTCGCTACGAAGATATGAAGGCGATTTAACGCGCTGTGACGGAGCATTTAAATGTGATTTCCCAAAAGGAGTTTTCCAAGGCCTTCCAGCAGCTCTACGAACGTTCTGCTGACTGTGTGGCGAGAGAGGGGATGCAATGAAAAATCGAATTCTACAGATAAACAAAATTTTATAATTTACTTTTCTACATATATACTTTTTAATTTTATATATTACATAATTAATATCTCATAAAAAAAAAGATTAGTAATTACGTGAATCTAATAAAAGCGTCATTATTAATATTTACATATCAAACCAAGCTCCATTGTAGAATCGATCAGAGAAGCAAGCTTTAACTAAATATGTGCGTTATTGACAACTGAGAAAAAATCAGAGGACGATTCAATGATATTACTGATAATCCAAGTCTGTCGCGTAGCAGTTATCACGATACTCACCTATCGATCGTTTCCGTTCCTCTCGAAGATAGGATATGCAGACTCGCGCTCGCGTATATTAAACGGGTATCTGTTATCTTAATGGGAAATTACGTTATAGTTATTGATCCATGATAAATGTCGATAGAAGCCGGTTTACGTGTTTATTTAAAGCGAATCGGGACTGGGCTGTTTTGAGCGAGATTGAAAAATATCGCTTCTCTGCAGAAGAAAGAAACACCTATGAGCCTTACGTCTCTAGGTGCGCCTCTTTTCGATATTAAGAACATCATACTTCATGAATTAATAAAAATTGAAGATTCAAAAAGTAGCCGAAATTTTATGATAAATATTAATAAGCGGAATAATGAAGCCATTGATATTAAGTGGGAGAATCTATCGCTTTCCTTATTCCGAAGATATTTTACAAGCGGGAAAAAAGAGAGAAACGCGATTATACAGTTACATAAAATATTATATAAAATAATATGTATTTCTTATTTTATATACACATTATTATTATGCATACAGGGTAATCGCAATGTTACACATATATGTAATTGTTTATAATTATTATCTTTCTTCAATTTATATATTATGTATATCTGAACACATATACACATGTCACGACAAAATAGTCGATGGAAAAGAGGTCAAGAATATTTCAAAGCGACGCTGCTTTATCTGGCTTTGTATCCTCTGTAATATTTTACATGACTGCGGTTTTATGTCTTCTCTTGTTCTCCGAGTAAATTTTAGATCCCGACAAATGTAGAAACAGAGATAGACAAGAGACGAGGGTCTACTTTCAGTGTTTCTTCGGAAAGCTTGATTGCTTCCTTAATCAGTGCCTGGTCCTCTTGCCGAAGAGCAGTGTGGAGGCGATTGCGGGATAAAAAGAGGCTCTTGTACGGAAACGCGTGCTACGCTTTATACGTCGAACACGTACATTCGATTATTTAGGGTGGCAGCTTAAGCCATCTCGCTGTGCTGCGGCTATTCAATAAACTTCGTAACGGCACAAAAGATTAATGACGTAAAGCGAAAGAAAGATCGCCTAAAGCGCTGTTCCGTGCACACAAAAATGGCTTATACTTGGCGGGAAATGAATTTATCCTGTTAGAGTTATTATGCTGTGGGGTATATATCTCGTAGCAGGATTGCGAGCATACTTGAGTGAATTCTTTGATGTCAGTGCTGTATCATCTCGAAATTAACTGCACCGTAAAGGAAAAGTAGTAATCGGTCGTTATTTAAACCGACGATCTTACGAACTCTATATTTTCCGCATTTTTAAAATTGCAATTTTAATTTATATGTTTTATCTCAATAAATACACAAAAGCACAATTGAATAACAAATTTGTTATATATAAATTATATTTTAAATAGTCTTACAAAAGTCGCTAATATTAAATACACGAATTTTAAATTGAATATCTTTTATAATACGTTGTTAAAATTATTAAGCATATATCGATCAATATTCAACACAATATTTGCAATAAACTAAGCGATTAGCGACAGCAAAATTCTATTTATTCGTGTATCAATCGAATGTGTGAAAAGACCGACCATTTGCGATGGTCTTTCTCTCATTGCTTTATGACGCAATTACGCATAATCGAAATGTATAATATTAAACACAATGATATTAGACATAGAGATTTACATTTGTAAAAAAAAATATTGATTATATATTTTCCATATATGTATATTAAACTCGCGTAAATTAAAGAATTTAAAGAGTATATATTCATATATCGATTTTTTAATCTTATTTTCGTTCTCTTCCCCAGAGTTAATAAAATTAGAAAAATGGCAAAACTCGGTTATCTCAACACATTTTTATTAACTTTTTCTTGCCTGGGAATTTTTTTCGATCGTTATTAAATTTTCAGGAAAAGAATCGAGTCAATAAATAAAAAAAGAGGGAACTTACAACGCATATTTTTCGAGAGAGACAAGAATTAAGACACTAATAAGTTTATTAACGTAATCTTCATATGCAATAGCTGCGAAACAAAAGTTTTATTTTTTATACATGTGAATTCTTGTCGCCAGAAATTCCACGGCACAAATGATGAAAGGCCGTCATCAGTTTCGCCGTCGCTTCAGTTTGCAACCTTCGGCACATTTGAAAGAAGAACAAGAAGATACAACGACAAAGAATGTCAGGTAATGTGTGAAAGAGTTTCTTTCACAATTTTTATTTCTCACTACATTCGTCAACCTGTAATTAATCATTAATGGTCAAGTAATTTTAAATTAAGATTATTCAACTATTCTTCTACTGACTAATCTTCAAGTAATAAAAGATTTAAAATTAATTTCCAAGAAAAATATATGTATATTAAACTCGCGTAAATTAAAGAATTTAAAGAGTATATATTCATATATCGATTTTTTAATCTTATTTTCGTTCTCTTCCCCAGAGTTAATAAAATTAGAAAAATGGCAAAACTCGGTTATCTCAACACATTTTTATTAACTTTTTCTTGCCTGGGAATTTTTTTCGATCGTTATTAAATTTTCAGGAAAAGAATCGAGTCAATAAATAAAAAAAGAGGGAACTTACAACGCATATTTTTCGAGAGAGACAAGAATTAAGACACTAATAAGTTTATTAACGTAATCTTCATATGCAATAGCTGCGAAACAAAAGTTTTATTTTTTATACATGTGAATTCTTGTCGCCAGAAATTCCACGGCACAAATGATGAAAGGCCGTCATCAGTTTCGCCGTCGCTTCAGTTTGCAACCTTCGGCACATTTGAAAGAAGAACAAGAAGATACAACGACAAAGAATGTCAGGTAATGTGTGAAAGAGTTTCTTTCACAATTTTTATTTCTCACTACATTCGTCAACCTGTAATTAATCATTAATGGTCAAATAATTTTAAATTAAGATTATTCAACTATTCTTCTACTAACTAATCTCTTCAAGTAATAAAAGATTTAAAATTAATTTCCAAGAAAAATAATGTTATTTTTAACATTCTTTCTATTAGTCGACGTAACTCTATCACTTTTATAATCACTGGAATATAAAAATCACTGGAACGAATCGCAATTATAATTAACGTATGAGTCATTTTTAAGAAGAAAAGTTCCATGATACGTGATAGAACCAATATTAATCTTTTCATCCCTTTGAAAGAGGAGAGATTCATCTTCTTTCCGGGAGACGCGTTCTTTGAAGCAACATGCAGATACAGTGTGTTCGATTTTCGATATTATATCTCCTCGGTACCTGAGACGCGAACTTAAAGTCTCAACACAAGACGCTATTCGTGTTCGAAGTAATAAGTCGTAGGCCGGAAAAATTGCTTTCAGCGTAAAATCTCGCTTGGATGCGCGATATATATCTTGCCTTTTTCCTGCACTTTCCTTTTCGTTACCATCCATTTCTCGTGACTAGCCAGCTATCAGAGTTTAGTTCGCGCTTTAATTTCAAGACGAATCTGCGCGAGAAGGGAAGCTCGCTTTTCCTTCTTTGTGTACCCGGTAATGACTACGTCTGACTTCTTCTAATAAGCGCAGATGATTACGAAGAGACGAAGATATTTAGAGACAGCTGCTGCTATTTGGTGCATGTAAAAGCGACTGTATGGCCTCGCCGCTCACAAGAGGCATTCTCTAGCATCGATAATGCCTCGTATTCAGGACACTCTATACAAAACTGTGGTATTCAATAACATGCGCTTCCTTGTATCGTGTATCCTTCGCGTTCATTAACGCAGCATTCTCTTCGTTGAATGATTGTCTTTCTTAAATAGAGAATGTATGGTTATCTCTTTATTTCCGCCATTGTATTACGGAAGAGATTGTATTCTATTGTTTCCGTTAATAACAATATCTCTCATAACAATTCCTCTCGTACCTCTTAATGCGTGCAGCGATTGATATCTATTTAGAGAGATATATTTGAATACACATTGTAATGAAAAATGTTGATAAAACTGTTGATTTGTACTTCCGTACAAATCTGTTATCGTAATTGTAATATTGCTTTGCTGAAACTCAACTTTTTAAAAGTTTGATATTATCAAGTAAAACCTAAGTTAATGAAAAGGATGTGTTAACATTTCAGGAACGACAGATTGTCAGAATCGGACAGCGGTGGTGGAAAATCGGCCGAGAGTTCGATTCGGCATAAGATCGTGATGATGGGCGCAGCGAAAGTGGGCAAGTCAGCAATAATTAATCAGTTTCTTTACAGTACATTCACGCCGAAGTATAAGCGCACCGTCGAGGAGATGCATCACGGTGATTTCAATGTTTCCGGGATCCAGTTGACTCTCGACATTTTAGACACATCCGGCTCATACGAGTTTCCGGCAATGAGAGATTTATCGATCAAATCAGCTGATGCCTTTGTTCTGGTTTACGATGTCAATGATGCTAACACGTTTCTCGAGGTGAAGACCCTCAGGGCTCAGATACTCAGCACGAAAGGAGCCGTCCCAATAGTGGTCGTTGGTAACAAGATCGATCTCGTAGAAACGGAGCAGGAGGTGAGTTTCGACGACAATAAGATTATCGTTGACCTCTTTACTTTCCTTTGGAATTTTCAGAGGATTTTGGACACAGTTTCTCCGTTTTCATAAAAGAGATTATTAAATAAAAGCTTGCACTTGCACAATTCTAAGAAAATTTATTCTATTCTTAAAATTTTATAAAATCTTTTACAATATTTTGGAAAAAAAGATATTTATTGTATTACATTATTCTGGAGATTTATATCCCGATCTAAACCTGATTAGAGCCCGATAAGAATTGAATGTTTGTCCAAACTTCGTATAATCATGAATTCGAAATCACAAATATAGGAAAATTTGCGCGTAGAAATATTTATAAATCTGACAAGTAGAGTACATGCAAATAGTATCTAAAATGTCAGAATTTGAAAACGCAAACAAAAATTTAAATTTTTTTCTAAATAATATTTAAGTGTATGTATAAAAAACATTAAAAAACAAATGGTGAATTAAAATTTAGAATGTATATAATAATGAAAATTGTATACATATTGTAAAGTTAAATAATATTGAACCTAATTATCTGTGTAATAAGTTAACGTTATAATGATGAAAATAAATTGCAGGTGGACACCGAGAGCACGAGAGAGTTAGTAACCATGAAATGGGAAAACGGCTTCGTGGAAGTGTCTGCAAAGGAGAACCTAAATATCTCCCAAGTATTTAAAGAGCTTCTCATCCAAGCTAAGCTGAAGTATAATCTAAGCCCGGCACTGCAACGTCGTCGTCGGCAATCTCTGCCACCTCCGCAGCACATGAATTCGCGTAGTAGCAGCACCCACGTGCCATCCCCAACTCAGCTTCAACACCTGCAACAGATTCGCGAACGCTCCGATTCCAAAAGGAATTCTTGCATTTTGTCGTAAGGCGAGACCCTTGCTGATATCGCCGCGATAAATCTCCCCTGACGATTCCACCGATTATATCGGTGCAACCAAATCGATCGGCGTCCAATCTGAGAATTATCAAATGTGACAGATGACAGATGATTCATTGATCCGGATAAGGTTTTATTTACGGGCTATGGGATATGATATAAGCTATGGGTATCGATTGTGCAAGATTTCGATAATTCGCGCAAAGCCACGAAAAATGTCACGATAATTCGTTATTTCGTCCGTCAAACATGCAAAATATTTAAACGAGTCTAAAAACGTGCATGTATTCAGAGGAGTTTTGCTCTAATGTCAATATTTTTAAATAATGTCAAAATGACGGATCTTCTATATGAGTAATGAAAATTTAAGGAAAATTTAATGAAAAAACACATTCCATGGTAAAAATATAAAATATAAAAATATAAATATTACTGAATCTCTTTTTCAAATATAGAATATAGATACATATTATTAAAGATTACTTTTTATATGATTAACTAAAATACTAAATCTTTTATTTTGAATTTTGGAATACGCGATTTCTGGAATTTCTGTATCTTTAGATCTGCAATATTTTCAATAATTATATGAGAGTCACACTTGGTTTGTTTAATTAAAGAAAATTATTTTGCAAAACTTTCTCTAATGTGTGCGAAAACATTAGGATCTTGTCTCATACACAAAGTGTAGTTCAGAAGAATAATATTCTAAATATTTAACTAAAATATATATTAAAATGCAATTGTGTCCAGTTCTTTTCGTTCAATCTATGTGAATACTTTCGTCAATTTGATGGAAATAACGTACATAAGACATCAACAAAAAATAACAAGCTAATAGCAGTATAGTGTAAGTAAAAAAAAAGTATCACACACATGAGTCTGTATACATCGCTTCTTTCAATTTTGTAATAACTATCCATCTGGATAGTGAACAATTTCAAAGAGTCAATTTCTATTACGGCATCACTCTAACAAAGCGTTATTTGTTTCTTCGAATGCGAAGAACATATTTCATAAAAATATAGATATACTATATATTCTATTAGTAACTTTTGCAACTTATTGTAAACAATTTCTCTACTTGTCGCAAATACGACAAATACGCAAATACTGATTGATAGGGACTATGAAGCAAACCTTAAAAAAATCAGTTTTCAAAGAAATTAAAGATGATGCAAGATTAAAGAGAGTACTCTTTTCATATTCTATAAAGTAAAGATCAAGAATTTGTGAAATTTCTTGAAAAAAGTTATTAACTTCCAATATGTAGAATTTCAAAAATATAAGAGATGTTTTGTTACTATACACTTATATCTGCATTAAGATATATTAACAAGACTTTCTAATCAAGACTTTCTAAACAAGATCTTTCTTCCATATTGTCTGTCAACTGCGATCGGAACAATGATCTAAATAAACCAATAATTGTGCGTTTGTCTATATACCGGATTTATATAAAGATAATAATAAAATAATTCCGAATTATGTATAATTACATAGTTTTATCATTATACATACATTTGAATATCGTATTTCAGGGTTACTTCACACTGCCCGGCCTTTTATTATCATGAATTATACGTATATATTGTAAAAGTCAAGAAGATAATACTACAAAAACTTATCAACTTTCTATATAGTTATATATATAATAAGAATTGGTTCTTATCTCTTTATTTTTTGTATGAATATATACACATTTTGTATTAAAAGAGATATACATGTACATAAAATTGTAACGTTGACATACATTTACATCTTGCTATTTTTAAATTTGCATTATGGATTTAATTTTACACAAATATATACAATTAAAAGGATGCCGGACCGTCCTGTTTTACCGGCCATAATAATTATGTATTTGCTTAATATAAGGGTTTTGCGGTGTGTACGTGTAAAATAGGATACCTCTCCACTCGGAAATGCATGAAGGAATATAAGTGAACGTTTGAAAATGTATTTGAAAGCCTAGTAAGAAACATTTCGGTGTGCAAAATGTTGCATAGTAAAATCTTTTTTATAAAGCTTCTAAACTCACTTCTCAAAGTTTATTAATACTCTTTGATAAAATGCCGAGTGCGGAGTTCACTTGTTAGGCACGTGCAGGTTGCAGGTTTTTTATATTAAGTAAATGTTGACGGCAGAAGCCGATAACAAAACTGTAATTTTTTAATTTTTTTTCACTTTTCATATGAAATCATAAACCCCGCACTCCGTTATTATGTATACTTTAATTATGGAAAAGGATTTGTTGATATCTATAATCAACAAAAATATTTTGCAATCCTACTAATATTTGCATTCTGTCGGTATCCGGCATCCTCTTAAGCATTCTAATATAATCTTAATATAAATTGCATACATATATGTGTGTGTGTGTGTGTGTGCGTGCGTGCGTGTGCGTGCGTGCGTGTGCGTGCGTGCGTGTGCGTGCGTGCGTGTGCGTGTGTGTGTGTGTGTGTGTGTGTGTGTGTGTGTGTGTGTGTGTGTGTGTGTGTGTGTGTGTGTGTGTGTGTGTGTGTGTGTGTGTGTGTGTGTGTGTGTGTGTGTGTGTGTGTGTGTGTGTGTGTGTGTGTGTGTGTGTGTGTGTGTGTGTGTGTGTGTGTGTGTGTGTGTGTGTGTGTGTGTGTGTGAGTGTGTGTGTGTGTCACTGATTCAGTATTTGTTAGTACTATAAGAATCAATATATAGTTTATAAGCTTTAACTAATCTAGTTATTTATAGAAAATAATAATTTAAAAATAATTACCGTTTCAAGAAAATACTTCCGGTTTTACTTTATATTTCTTTTAATAATAATATGATAAAATTTATCGTCGACATTAAACGTGTTGATAATAAAAACATAAAGTTGTATATATAACATAAATAATATTATTTTCTTATAAATATATTAGAGCGCATTCTTCCATAAGCGCAGCTTTATGAGGGAGAGAAACATAAATTAGAAAAATATGTCGTATATAATGTTTAAGTGAATTATATATGTGATCATAGTTGATTTATTTTATAATATATGATAATATGTGACTGCAGCCTTTCCTCCGTTGTCTGAATAAATTATATTAGTAACAAATGTTAGAATTACACATTTGACTTTGTATTATTGCGGATTAATAAATAAAATGTGCAGCATAAAAGTATAAGAAATAAGATCTCCTGCTTTTTGCAAGTTTGTTTTTTTCTGTAACAAAATCAAACTTTTTATTTCGTTGAATCGGACGAAATTAATATACATTGTGCAATATTGCGCATCATATAGAAACATCTATGTCGAGTCTCAATTGAGGACATTTCATCAGCATTTCGCCTATTAATAAATTACAACAATGATTTTGTTACCAATCTTATTACCATTGTTATAGTAATATTATTTGCAAAATTGCTACTCTTTCAATTGTGTAAAAAGAGAGAAGAGTAACATATATATATATATATATATACATCGCTCTTTACCTTCGTGTCTTATATATATATATTCTAATATAGATTTGATTCGTGTATGTCTCGAAACATGTACATAAAATGAGTAAATTTCAAAAGAACAAAACAAAACAGTATATTTTCTCGGATTTTTAATAATATTTCATTGGTCTACGTAATTAAAAAAGTTGAGAGAAAAAGTAATATTGAAGAAAGGCAGAAAAGCTGTTTCTCTCGTGTAAAGTTGTTCTAGATGGCGACACCGTTCAGAGATTGTGTCCTCTTGCTCACAGCTGATTCGGGATTGATTCGGATTTATTTGGGTTTCAAGTTTCAAGCAGTTTCGAGCATTCGAGCACGTGAACTGTCGATTGAAACAAGGGCGAATGGATCGAGAGTAACCCAGAGAGACTGACGACTGACGATCGCATTGCCATTCACGTCGTTCACAACTGACACGTTCAAATCAACCCGTTTCACAATGATAAACGCAGAAGGAGTCACGATGAAGCATCCACATTTCCGATTAAAGATCGACTTGTCCAAGTTTTTCCACGATGCGCGCCAATTTTGCTGGATTTTTATTGACGGGACAAAGATCCAGCAGATTTTTCACATTCAACAACACATTAGTAAACTCTTCAGCATCACAAAACCATTTCATTTATTATTAAATGATACCGAATACTTGCCGCCAATAGAGGATGTGCGTATACTTAAGGAGAATGAAACGATACAGTTAGTATAGTTTAATTTTATCAACGTTTTTCGTGGCTTATAATTTTGATTTATTGTGTTTTATTTATCTTGCAATTTTGCGGCAATTACTTGTCTTAATTATTAATTATGTATTACTAAAAAAGTAGCAATTTCATGAATTGCAGAGTAATTCCTGGGTCGGGCATAAAAAATGAAGTTGATAAAGCAGAAATATGCAATGGTTCTATGCATGATAAACAGGTCCATACGACAAATATGAAAACAGGAATAAATACATCTGATGCACTGATTGTATCTAATAATACCTTGAATGATACGCAACCAAACTCAATAAGTTAGTTTCATTTATATATTGTATTACATATAAATGCAGATAAAATAAAATGAAATCTTTATTTTATAACATAATTATTGATGATTTGCATATATTTCAGATAATACTGCAGGAAACATGTCATTTTACAGTATAATCAATGATACAGCGATTGACGATACAGAAGAAGATACAGATTCTAAAGTTACGGATAACAATTTAACAGAGGATTGTAATCTGACAGATTCTGTTATATCTATTTCAAAGAGAAAGCGAGTACGAAGACGAAAACCAAAAAATCAATCAAAAACTCAATTTACATTATCCTCTAATATGAATGAAGAAAACAAACCAAAGAAACCAAAAATTATAGATTCTTATATTATTCCATCTGGAAAGCATATACGATTTGATAATACAGAGAAGGAAGAGAATGATATTGCGAAACAAATAGTACAAGAAATATCTAGAAACGAATCTTATATGAGCAAAAATTCATCCTCTAGAGATTTAGGTAACCTTTTAGCATTGAGACAATGCTCAACGCCAGTTACATTTGCACACAAGAAAGTAAAAAACGATATTAAGATGGAAAATGAATTAAATGATGGGATAAAAAGCAAAACCTTGAATAAAATTGCGGAGAACAATATTAGCACAGAAAAAAATTTAAATAATAAAGAAAAAACACAATGCAATGAAAGCTGGATGCATAGCGATCCAGAAATAATTCCAATTATGACTAGAAAACCACAAGTTAAAGACATTATTGCCTTTAAGGTATATAATATATGGATTATTGTAATTTATATATATAAATATCAAATATATTATATCTTCTTTTTTAAATAACTATCTTTTTTTTAATTTAACATTAAATTGCAGACTTTGAAGATTGGCGCTGATTATACACCTCAATTATCTAATTTTATTGTGACTGAGGTAGTAGATTTTTGTCCACACTCTGCAAATTATTATATGAAAATAATCAGTAAGTAATATTATTTATATTTACGATTTTATTTGTTTAAAGTACATATATCATTGAATGATATAATATAATAGATGATGTGATATAGAATTAGAGAATTTTATACAAATTGATATATTATTTACAGGAGGCAAAGAAGAAGTTCAAGATCCAGTTGGAAAGTTTTCTCTTTCAGAAGACATATCCGCTAGTCACTGTGACACAGATACGTTCTTACTTAAGTCTTCACAGATAGAAGAACCTCGTTTACTTGCCTCATTTTCTAAGCCTTCCGTTTTATAAACACTTGTTTCTGTTTCATTTTATTTAAGACGCAACTGTAAGTATTTTATGTTTAGCTCGTTAATCTATGATTTTCTGTTTTTATTGAATATTGAACTTGATTGCTACTCGTTGCGATTTCTCAGATACTTAATATTTTTTATTATACTATACTTATATATATAGAAAGAGATACAATTTTTTATTTTATAATTAATATTAAAGTTATGATATAAAATAATGTTTAGTTGAATTATATGTATGCTATTTTCACATAAAATGGAATTAGTATATATATAAAAAGTCTTTATATTTAAATTTAATAAAACATTAATTTCTTATTTATAATTTTTTATATACATCTCAGGGAGAAGAAAAAAATAATAATAAATGGATATTATCATATTCAGATGAATATAATTATTAAATAAAATAAAAGATAAATAATTATTATATATCTTAAGATAACATTTATATAGATTATATAAATTCTGGATCATGCATTTTGCATTATATATGAAGAGCTTTTCAGCAAGAAACACATGAATACAATGTCATACGATTGACTATTAGATAAAAAAATTATCGAAGCTTTTAAAATTCTGTATTTGTTAGATAATTGCAAATTATCCTACCATTATCGAGTTTCTGCAACTGTGAAGTTCTATATATTATATGAATTCAGACATTGTGGGACTTTCGATATTCATTAGATTGGCAAGAGTGCCGCGATATACAGCATAACGCGCGCACGCGCATGATTCTGATTCTCTTGCCGCGCTCGCACATCGAAGTAAAGTCACATCTGTAAGGCATCGCTTATTTTCCGAAAGTACATCGCGGGTGCGAAGTAAATTATATCGTAAATGTTTTGAAAGTACTCAATGAAATATCGTAGTTTATCGCGTTAATTATTTCATATAATTGTAATTAGTGTATTAGTAAATATTTTTGATATACTGTTATTTAAATGTACGACAATATCTCTTGGGAATTTGAAATGATAATTCTTAACCAGGAGTTAACTTCAAAGGATCTGGTAAAACGACGATGTAGCGATTGGTGAGTGAATTTATTTTATATAATAATAATTTATTTTATTATACTTGTGTGCGATATACATATTATTTGAAGAGTTTGAAGACATAATAGATTAAGAGTCATATATGTGTAGCAAAGTTTTTAAGTAAATTTTTAACCGAGAAAAGGAAAAAACCGTAAATTTTGAAGGGGACCTAGCATTCTTTTCTGCAGCTTTTACATATCATTTTTAAAAATAATATATTATAAAGAAATTTTGGACACATGATCGATTATATATATATATTTGGCATAATCCTGATGAGAGAGAGAGGAGAGGGGGGAAGGAAAGAGAGAGAGAAAATTATTACAGTTAGCTTAAACAAACAATAATTAAAGCGAATAAGAGCAGATTTTATTTTGAATTTTAATCGATGTTTAATCTCATGTTGCGAAATGAGTACGTGAGAGAGAAAACAAACAAAAGATTTAGACAAACGGTTAATCTAACGAAATTCTCTTCGCATAAGATGGCATATGGTCGTGCGGAAATTGTAGGTTAACATTCTTGCTGCGAAACACGCAAGGTGTGGAGAAACCGAGTATGAGTTATTATCCTCGTTGCAATATGTCTCCGCAATTGTTTATGCCGGTGCGAACAACATCTTGTTTTGGTTACTCGGTCATGAATAATTCAAGAATTAGAGCGCGAGAATAAATATATGCCTTCGACGCTCGTAGGATTAGGACCCGCTAGTGCAAAGAATTTTGATTCGCGAAATTCGAAAGTCTATTTTTTCATGACATTCATAATCAAACAATCAGCAGAACATCGTATTAAATATGTAATATACGCCCGATACCATCGGGGTTTTTTTTTCTGTTTCAAAAGCAAATACTTTTTGTGCGCTATGTTTGACAAGATCGTTTGTCAGAATTAAAACTTGAACAAATATTTGAATACGGTCCTGTTTTACAATCAACTATTTCAATATTTATAAAGTGCTGAAAAATTATTCAAAATTCTCGACGACAGTTAGTTTGTATTCAGACTAAAAGCGGATTATAAGTACTTTTCAGTCGAATTGTTTGCACATTGTTTGACTGCTACATCATCCAATCGATGGATCCCAATCATTATGCACGTTGCAATTAATGGCATTCATTCTCTCGATTGAACGTCAATTAGAGCTCTCTTCACATATTAATTATTTGCGTACTAGGAGTGGAGATGGGAGAATCTCGTTATACATGTACCTGCTTTCAGAGGGATTCTTTTATAGATATCAATGAAAAATCGCATATTATGTAAAATACATTTAGCGAATTTAATTGCGTAGGATAAATATGATTTGTTGAAAATATGTGACAACAGTAAATTTATATAATACATTTTATATATTTCAGCAATTTTCATGAAAATTAATTTCTAGAAAATAAGAACCGGGAATTAAAGAAAAAAATTTTGAAAATAACTAGATTAAAAAATAATTAAATTTAAAAACTTTAAAGAGAATAGAATATATATATATATATGAAAATCTTATCATGAAAAATACTCATTAGAATATTATTATTCGCCTCGCGTGATATTTGAAAATAAGCGTAATGATGTATAAATAAATTTTAAACTAATGATATATTACATATTAATTTCTGCGTATCCTAAATGCTTTTTTAACAATTATATTTAAGGAGGAATCGGACGGATCAGCTACGGATCAAAAGTTAATAAATCTAATATATTTCAAGATTCATGAATTTGACATTGCATATAAAGGACTTTTAGCCTTTTAAAATATAAAATTAATAATTAATTTATAAGTTAAAGTAAAGATTTGCTCTATAGAATATAATTTAATCTCAAAATTGGAAATATTTATCTTATATCGAACTAATTCTTTTTTTTATATTGACTGTATCACGAAAATTTTATGATTGTACATAAAATTTCATGAAAATAAAACTTTTAATTCTACAGAGTAAATTTTTACTTTAACTCATATATTAATTATTAATTTTATATTTTAAAAGATGTAAATAGTGTGCAATTGCGCAATGTTAAATTTATGAATCTTAAAATGTATTAGATTTATAAAGTTCTGTTATAGCTGATCCGCCCAGTTCTTTCTTAAGCAACTGCTATATAAATCACAAGATATTTCCAGTATTTCACGAACAGGACATTACTAATTCAATATAAAAAGCGGCATAAAAATTGTGGGTTAAAAGAAATTAAATTCTTAATAAGTTACGGTAGAAACTGATGAAAGCAACCTATAATAAATCATCGGTAATTATTCATTTTATAAGAACTTTTCACTCAGACTTCACAGAATGTTTTTACGAGCTTTTTATTTTTTTATGAAAAGCAAGCTACTTTGTCTACAGCATCCAAATAACCTGCGATCTTTTATTCTGGGAAATCATTTTGTTTTTGCTACCGGGTTTTGATACTGCTATAATTTTTTGGTAATTATCTTTCGTAAATAAACTTTATGTAAATATTAATTAACTTTGCGCGCGAATAAAATAAATTTAATATTTATTCCGAAATTTTAAAATTATGAATATCTCACGGATGCATAACAGTTACTAAATTTGCATACGGAAGAGCACTTCAACTAAACCGTAAATTATAATTTTTTTTTAAATATAATGTAATTTTTATTTTACGATTACAAACTTGTATTTTCGCAATACTTGAAAAAACTAAAAGCATCGTATTTTTATGATATCACAATATTATATCATACAGCGTACGTCAATATAAGTGTAAATATGAATACGTAAATAAGCCTCCGAGATTTCAACGTATTTCTGAAGGTTTTATAAGATTCTCTTGTTTCTTTTCCCGCAACTTTCAGTGTCAAGAGTGATCGTTTCAAGTTTAAATCCTTTAAGTAGAATGAATGCGCGCGTTGCAGGTTTTCTTTCATCCATTTCTATTGTATTGTAACTTAGAAAAATTTTTTTCACGTATATATTACATATTTTCCATAGAAACGACATAAACTCGCGGATTTTAAACGAGTTCCTTTAACATGGTTGGAGCCACAATCGATGTTTAATCTAGTAGCGTTAAAACTCGATGTGCAATCACGCGCACCTTATTTATACACTGAGAAAAAAAAGTTGTTAACTTGACTAAATGCGTTCAACTATTTATTATTTCTTTAATTGAAATATTTAAGTATTTAAATTAAATACGACATATTAAATCTAACATGACGTATTTGACTTAAGTACTTAAATATTTCAATTAAAAAAATGATAATTAGTTGAACGCATTTAGTCAAGTTAACAACTTTTTTTTCTCAGTGTACAATCGCAGTTACCTTATTCTCATTGAATAAATCTCACGACGATCGATAATTTCGGGGAGAACATCGAAACTTTGAAGAACTTGAAACCGTAATCTCTCAATTGTTATTCACGGTGATTATTCTTCCTTGCCAAGTGGTAATCTTATTGCATAAATTTTCATATAAAGATATATTACTCGTGTGAAAGTTTAAGCAGTAATAACCCAGCACGCATAAATTTTAAGCAATTCGTGATTTAAAAGCAGAGGCAGAGCGAGATGGAGACGTTATAAAAATAAGACATTATAAAAATGCCGAACAGCAAACTGGACGACACGGAATGAGCCATTCGCTGTAGCAAGTATTGATTTAAAAGCTATTGACAATCCCGAATACACTTGGGTATGCTATTTGTGACGTTCGACGAAACTTTTCTACTTTCCTACGGTGAATGTATACAATCCAATTTTTACCGTTGGAAGTTGCGAATGTTTCGACACGTAAATATACATAAAATTTATGTACGTAATTTATATATAATTTATGATCTAACTTATTCATATACAATTCTTTTCTTGAAAAGTAATTGACATTACATAAGTCTGACTGATGAAAGTTTATGGAAAATTAATATATATGGATATATTCTTGCATAATCAAATCTTCGATATTTGAAAGACTTAATAAAATATTCGATGTGTGTCTTGTTTCATTCTTAATAAAGCAGAGAGAAAAAATATAAAAGAGAGAAATACAAAATCTCTTTCTCCTCTATAATAAAAATTAGCTCACACACACATACAATAAAGTCATATAGATCAGAATAACAAATAATAAATGTGCAAATAAATTATAAAAATTCTACATATACATATAATTAATCATATTTCATATGGCAATAGCAACAAAAAATTTTCAAAGTTTTATTCTAATATTAATTAATAATTAAAAATATATTTATTACTCATTTATATACTTGTATGTATATGTATATATATATGTGATATGTTTCACTCCCGCAACGAACTTGATTTTTTTATTATCGCATGGGGATCTGTAAAGTAAACTATTGTTCTGTTCTAATCGTAACACCATCGAATTTCGGAAATAAGAAGGAACCGTCCGAAGATGAACAGTAAATCACCGATCATTCGTTGAATTGCGGAGCTTACCCTTACTATTGAAGTCTTCGCGATTTATAGGACCGAGCAATCGAGCGAACAAACTCGGTGTATCTATCTTGTATCCGATAATAATTCATACCCTTTCGTGACCAGTAATATGAGGGATCTGTCGGGTGCGTGCACACTGAGATACGCGTGTATATCTACTCACGACACATCTCAATCAATTTACGTGTCGACGGTGGCGCGACCGCATGTATGTACCAATATACATGCGTCCGTGGAATAACGGATTTATGATGTATGGTGTGCAATAACATGACGAACTGATGTTGCAGGAATAAGAACACCTCGTAATACGATTTTCTTCGCGAAAAGAAAACGATGCTACAATCTGATGAAATATGACCAGTAGGGGAGGAAGGGGGGAAGAGGAAGAGTTTTATTTAGTTATCTCTAGAGAAACATTCTTTCGACACTCATCAAACGTACATAAATTTGGATCTCTCTCAAACAAGCTGTACAAATTGACCTTGTATGGTGTATATTGATAAAGTTGTAACGAAGTCTGTAACTTTTACATGCTTGACAAAACATTAAAACATTATAAGCT